CCCCACAGCCGCCATCCCCGTCAGCGCCACCCCTCCCGCCGCCAGAGCCCTGTTCAGCCTCAGCGCCTTCTCCCCCAACCTCACATACTCCGCCTTATCCCTTTTTCCGATCAATTTTCCGATTCCCCTCATCTCCTCCTCCAGCTTCCCGTCCCATCCGTTCGGGCCCGGCAAACGGCCCGATTTTCCCCTGTTCTTCTCTTCCTCCTTTTGCGGCGGCCACCACACCGCGGGCTCAACCCGACCCGGAAATTTCTCTATCATGGCCCCGCCGAGCAATGGAAGCGGGTACGCTTGGTCGAGCGCCATCACCTTCTCCGTCATCTCCCTGACATTTTCCGTCGTCGGATTTCCAATCGAGACAACGGTTCGGATCTGATTCCCGAGCTGCTCGAATAACCGGGCTGCGTTCCTCTGCTCCTCCCCCAGCTGGGACGGCTGGATTTTGTTCACGACCGAAAGCATCCCGGCTGCTGCCAGGTACATGGCGGCAGCCGCCACCGCCCTGCTGCCGGAGGCGGTGATGACGGCGGCGGTGAGTGTGAGGGAGTTGATGGAGGTGAGCATGAGGGTGTTCCAGTTGTTACGCTGGTCCGCGATGTTCCGGTGCATCTCGACTCGATCTGCTACAGCCTCGATTATCGCGTAGAGCTTGGCCACGACTGTCGGGTCTGGTTTTTCGCCGGTCTCGGTTTTCGTGGTGACTGTTTTGTTGGTGGTTGTTAAAGGACTGGCGGGCCGCCTTTCGGTGGTCAGATGTCCTGAAAGAGGTATTTTGGGTACTGTATTCAATTTCGTGATGCTGGTTTTCTGCTTCAAATTTGTCGAGTACGAGGAGCGAGGGGCCAGAAGTCCTGGTATTTTGCGTATTGTATTTGATTTCGGGATGTTGGTTTTCTGCTTCGAATCTGTCGAGTTACTCGAGTAAGAGGAACGATCTCGAGTCGAAGGATTTAAGAGTAATGCCGATGATTTTAAGGCGGCCATTATTTTCTTTTTTCTTTTCAAAATTTTGTGTGTGTGTGTGTGTGTTTGTCTTTAGCTTTTTCTTGTGGGGATTGTGAGATGTTAATTTTTGCTCTTGAATATGAAGGATAAGGGTTTTAAAAATGAATGAGATTGCATGGCCTGTGTGTGGATATATATATATATAGTAATGGGGGTATGGTGTTGACTGTGAAAATGAGTTGAAAATCAAATGTTATGTTATCTTTTATTCAAATATGTTCTAAGGTACAACTGTTTGAATGGGTTTATGAGTAGGACCTTTTCGTGCCTTTGATATTGGGTTGAATTTCAACAACACTTTGAGCAAGTACTGTATTTTGAAAATGGCAAACTCTGATATGTTAACCACAACTTATGTGCTAATATTGATATAGAACATAATATAGCTCGGGTAAATTGGCTACAGTTAGCACGGGTGGTCATCCCCATTGTCGCTCGGGTAAGGGCCATTTCGGATGAGCGTGTCTTGAGTAGCTCAGACAATATTGTGTCGGTAGCTCGGACAATAGTATGACGATAGCTCTAACAACATAGTATGAAAATAGTTCAGACAGTATTGTGTCAGTAGCTGTGGTGATAGGCTGGTAGCTCGAACAATACGTAGTGTCAGTAGCTCGGACAATACAATATGAAAGTAGCTCGAATAGTGTAACAACTAGGACAAAATGGGCAGTGCTATGTTAAATAGGTCGAGGGGCCTATGCTATTAAAGCGACCTATGGAGATTTGATCCAGATGGGGACCTGTTGATAAGGGACACGTGTAGGGCGATAAGGAAAATGTCTAAATGATCGTAGGGATATAAATGGGTCTCGGGCAGACCTAAGGGTAGTCAAATAACCATCGGGCAGCCTATGCACTCAGGCAGGCCTTCGAGTAGGGCAAAACCTACTAAAAACCCAATGATTCAATATAAATTGGTGAGAGGTATGAAAGGTAAGATATTAATCATTCTAGACACTATGAGCTTTATAATCAGTTAAATACATTTTTCCTAACCCTTGACTGACTTAAACGTCGTAAATTTTATGCCAGGAACACGTCCCCGCGTGCTTTGCAAGTCTTCGAGGAGAAAATGGGTGTGAGGACGAAGGAGAATCATTTCGAGGTGCGACAACGCATCAAATATGTTAAGGCCACACAATTTTTTTTGAAAATGACGGTTCTATTTGTATTATTTGTTTTTCATGTTAATTTTTACAAAAAAAAATCATACTTTATTATAAATTAAATAACATCATAAGATAAAAGTATAATAAGATGACTTTTGGTAATATAAGTATACATTTTTTAGTAGAATATTCAAATGGTCAACTTGACCACCTCACAAAACAATTTGTGGTTCTTAACCTAACTTAATAGCACCTATAAATTGAACCTCAAAATTTTATTTTTTTTTTCTTTTATAAACGTACATGAATTTTTAAATGAAATATCATGTCTATAAAAATGTAAGTGAACAAGATTAATACTATAGTTTATATAGTGAAATATGCATTTTCCACTCATTAGGCTATTAGACTCACAACACAACATCATTTAAAAATTATACACTTCATGCATCATAAACTTAGTGTCGTGTCTGCAAATTTGCACTTTTATGGATAACAATGTGCGACTCTAATATTATCTTGCTAGTATATGATCTGATAATTTATTTTTTACCATTTGAATAACATAAATTCTTGTATGATACGGCGTAACCGTCAGACGTATTGATCAGTAACATTTCTTTCAATAGAATGCATACTTATATATGCTATGAAATATTATTTTTTTTTTTTTTGGTTATATTCATTTTTATTGTTTTAAAATTAATATGCTATTAATATTAGACTAATTTTACAATTGATCAAGGGTCAAAATAGAACGATTGAGTAGGCCCAAAGTCATATTTTGGGAAGAGTTGTAATGCCCCCATGAACTAAACTTCAAAATCTTTCAAAGGGAGAACAAGTCTTATGAGATAACCAATTCAAACCTTCACATATCTTGATTTTTTTTTCTCGGTCAAATAATTTTCTCTATATACACACATTTGTACCAGCAAATTATAGGAAGATGCTACGGTCCCGTTATGGAAACATTCCGTCGAGATTTGTAACCGTTAGATCAGCTATCTCTGACGGTTACATGATGATCTGACGGTTACAAACCCCGACGGAATGATTCCGTAACGAGACCTTAGCATTTCCCCAAATTATAAACCATTTAACTCTCACTTCCATAATTAATCAGTACTTTCATTAACAAAATTTCTAAATTCAAATTCTTATATTAAAAAAAACAAAAAAGTCAGTAAATATTTTGACAATATTAAGAGTTAAGATCATCAAGATTACTTTTTGAAATCGAAGCAAAAACCGGGAGCTTTTCGAGTTGAAGGTGTGGCTGCAGCTCTGCCAGAGTTTGTCAGAGGTCAGGTGGTTGGCGGAGGAGGATAACCGGCGAGTTTACGAGCAAGCTTTTCTGATTATTTTGATTAGGGTTTTGTTGATTTGTTAGTGCATGTATTTTTAACTAGTTTAGTTCTATGTAAAATCTGAGGCTTATTCATTTTCATAAACTAATAAATTTTAGCTTTTGACAACGAAAATCAAGTTTTGTTCGGTTAGTCATGATTTATTCATTGTGTTTCTCATGATTGACGTGTGGTTCTGTAATGCTTTGGGTCTAATTTTGCTTGTCTGACATGTAAATAGACTTAAATTTGGGATGACATGAACAAAAATATATAAAAATATCAAAATTGACTCCAATACAAAGAGACGAGGTCGCTACTTTAGCCTAAAATAGACTTAAGGTAAATTGAGTCTCTTTTTCTTGCTCCCTGGCAGAGAGATAAACTTTTGAGTGATGAACTATTTAGTAGTGTTAATAAGAAGATTAATTACAAATATGAGTGAATCAATAGTAATTTTTTGATTGAAAAATATATAATAATAATTATTTTTTATTTTTAATTATATTAGTAGAATCATGGTGTAAAAGGTACAATGTGGTGAAAATGGTTTTTGTAAAAAAATTATTTTCATTAATTATTTCAATGAGATAAATCTTTACTGAGCAAAAAAAAAAGAGTGATACATTTTGATAACTAATCACCACCATTAATCATGCCATATTAACACTTATGGATGAAACTTAATGGATTAAATTGAAAAAACATTGTTACTATTATTATTATTATTATTATTATTATTAAATGATACAGCAACACTATATAAAAAAATGATAACGAAAAGAAATATGCTAAACGAGTATGGGGATGGGCACATTGTAAAGCTCCTTCTGTTCCCATATATTTCCATATTCAAAACCCTTTTGATTACTCATTCACAAGACTGTATCAATCGGATAGCAACCGAGGACTCGAATGAACCGAGCAAACTCCTGTCCGAAATCAACAGACGACAATATGAAACTCGCAATTTTAACAGAGATTGCTTCGATTTTTTCTTCTTCATTCTTTTAATGAAATCAGTTTTCAGTTTGAAATGTAAAAGTAGCAGCAAACCAGGAAAAAGAAGATTGCTTACCTGAAGATGTCCGAGTGCGAATTGGGCACGAGGCTCGGCCATAGAAGCTTCAAAATCGATGTAAAAAAGATAATCAAAATACCTGCGTGTGGAAAAAAGGCAAAATCCGTATTTTTATATTACTATACTATACTAGGGAAAAAAAATTAACAAGTCCTCCAGAAAATTTATGTTATTGGGACAATAATGAGCGCTTACGTTGGACTCGCCCGATTAGAGTCATCAACAACTCTCAACGGCCGCAATTTCTGTGGTCGGCTCTCGATCTGTGTACAGTACATTGTTTTTTCAAGAGTAACAAAACGAAAGAGTATTATTATTATACATAGATGAAAAAAAGGGGAAAAAAGATTGGTAAATATTGTTATGAATTATGATTATACCTTAGACAAACTAATATTTCTCAGGGCAAACACTGCTAAAGCCTTGAAGAGAATCCCGGGTCCCTCTTCCAGGCTGAAGACGATGCTTGTCTAAAAATGAATAATAAAACGGATAAGAAGTGAAAATGGAACTTACAAATTGAACACGAGACAGATGAAAAGAAAAGTACCTTGTAAGGTTTATCGGTTGCTGGTATAATGGGTTCTCTTGCAAGTATCAGAAATCGTGTTATGTTGTCGGTATCATCCTGTGGGGTTTAGATAAATTGAAATAAATTTGTCGAATAAACGCAGTACATAAAAGTATTTGTATTTGAAGTAGTAAAAACTAAAAACCCACACAACCAGATAATATACAAATCATAACTTCGTAAAAGTGTAAAACTAAAAACCCTAAAGCCGTTTTCAAAGCACTGCCCAAGTGATACAGAGATTAATCATCCAAATTTGCAAAGAAATTACCTTTACAAGCCCAAAGGTATATAGAGTATAAGATGCCATGAGCAATGCCACTAAGGCTCATTAAGAATGAAAAAAAAAAAAAAAAGTGAAATTTTAAAGTAGGAAAAAGCAAAACCTGTATTCTGTCAGCAAGAACATCAAGCCCATAGATTTCGGCAGCTCGAGAACTCGCAACTGCCCCAGTTTCCCTCACACCTTCAGAGGCTACAATCTGTCCTCACGTTAGTGTGGCACCAAACGAAGATGAAACAGGCACACCAATATAATTCTCCGAAAAAAAAGGAGCAACATATTACCTGAGCAGCACGAGCTGTATCATCAGCAGTCACTATTGTCACTCCCAACTCATTCAGTGTCCTCTCACACTGATCAAGTGCCTGAAAAAAACATATAACTTGATACATTTTGCTGAAATTTCTTTTTCATTTTTCTGAGACTATAAATTTGGGCAGCCCTTGGTTGATTTAACAATCAGAATAAATAAAAAATCAAGATTAATATGGACTCACACACTCCACATAAAGACAGTATGACAAAATCCTTATACATGAATTTGCAAATGTAACTACCAAATATAATTGCTACCAATTTGTGAAAGTCGAATCTATTTATCTAATCGACAACAAAAAGCAGGTGAAATGCCTGTGGTATCCATCAGCAACGAAACATAACAGAGAAATGCAAGCAAGAGAGAAATATATATATATATATATATATATATATGTGACGTGGTTCAAATGAGAACTAAGTCCTAACGTGAGAACCTTGAGAACCGCTATTTTTAATTGTACGTAGTGCTATGATGGTTGTGTTTTAGTGCTATTTTCAATTATGATGTATTTTGTTAAAAATAACAATAAAATCTTTATTAGCATTTGTGAAAATAATAGCACCAAGAAATATTAAAAATAACATCACGCCCAATTAAAAATAACATCAAATATGGTTATCACGGTTCTCACACCAGACCTAGTTTTTATTTGAATCAACCCCTATATATATGTGTGATAGGTCGAAAAATGTGTACGTTTCATATATTTAATAATGTATTTTTATACGCTTAATTTAGTCGCACATTTGTATTTTTTTACTTATTTATTATTTGGATGGATTCATATATACATTGATATTTATGTTTATTTTTCAGCATATTAGAGTATTTTCTGGATCCGAAGCATTGGACTGAGATACCGGTTAATTTGCCGACGGATGAACCTTAAATTGAGGCCCAATATGTGAGATGTTTATCAAATTGGGAGATATTAATTAAAGGCAATTATAATGGGTGGGACTTCATTTTCTAGGATATTTATTTTAGGAAATTTAATATTATTTGAAGAGAGTTTTAGTTATTTTGGAGACTTTGGAGTAGGAGCATCACGCATTACGTGATTTAATTGCGGGACAAAAAGCCATTAGCGGAGGAATTTTTACGGGAACGAAAACAAAAGGCCGAAAAAAAAAAAGAAAAAGAAAGCCGAGAGCAGAAACGGGAAAAAGGGAGAGAACGCACGGATAGAGGAAGAAATACGCGGAGGGAAGCCGCACTCGCACACGAGAAAGATATTTTTATATCTTCTCTCTTTTATTTATTTACTTCTATTAGTATGATAGACTAGTCTTTTTTATCCAGTTTGAATCCTAACTTGAATTTGTCTATGAATTTGAGGATTTATAGTTATTGTTGATTAATCGAGACGCCGTATTCAACACGTCTTTATTTGTGTTGAGGAGTTGATTTACGTTATCTGTGTTTAGTGTTTATGAATTATGGTATTTGATTTAGTTTGACCAGTTACGTTAAATGTTCATAGTTTAATTGCTAGATTCAGGACTTTAATCCGTAATTGTTATTGTGTCGTTTCATTAGTATTAAACTAGGGGTTGTGCATCTCTAGGGTAACGTGAATATAAGTTAAATGGTCCGAGCTTTTGCGTCCTGCTTAGACTGATCTATTTTCCTAGAAGTTAATGCTATAGAAGTTAATGTAGAAGTTAATGCTATAGAAGTTAATGCTGCTAGTGAATTAAATTTAGAGAGCTTATTCTAGGTTATCCGCTAGTTAGGTTTAGTCGAAGAGCCTATTTCGATTAAATATTCGGTAAGGAAAAATTCTGTTAACAAAGCTTGTTGTTAGCTAGGGTTGGTAATTCGTTAGCGATTTAAAGAAAAGCGTCGAAATTAATTAACGGTATATTAAGATTGGATGATAACTGAACCAAAAACTGGATTTCTCTTATTTTATTTGATTTTATTTTATTTTACTATTTTTATTTTTATCAATTCAATCCCCCCCTTTTATTGTTTTCGTAGTTTAGTTCAATTAATACGAAAATTGTCACAATTTAATTCATGCTCCTCGTGGGATCGACCCTTACTCGCCGCTACTACTAGTTAGTAGAGGTTAGTCGAGGATAATTTATAAATTTAAATTTGTCGTGTAACGACGCGCGGTCAGTTTGTGTGTAAATTAATAATAATCACCTGTGGGTGGCTCAACACGCGCTTTAACTCATCCTTTCTAACCCCAGGCAATCCTAAAAGGCAATGATTTACAACCAACTGAACTTCCCCAACAATGTGAAGCCTATGGCGAAGGAGCAAGTCATAGTTACGGTGTATGCTCCCACCAACCGAATTCTCGATTGGGAGCACGGCTTTATCTGCCAACCATAGCTCAACAGCCTGTGCAAATATCGTCAAAAGAATCAAAAGGTATGAGATTTATATATTCATCTATTATTTCATAAGAAAAATGCTAAAAAAAGAAAGAAAGAACGAAACAACCCACCTGGAAAGCAGCCTCAAACAGATCGCACGGGACAGTTTCGCACTTTGGGTATGCTTTCAAAGCAGCCTCCTCGCTATATGCTCCGGAAACACCCTAAGAGTAACCATTAATCATTCTAATAGAGCTAAGCCAAAAAAATAAGGCCTTTTTTTTCAATTATTATGACAGGGGAAAACTATCAAATACCTGGTATGCAACACGAACTTTCTTACCATTGCTAGTAAAGGAGGAAAAATCGATTGCGGACAAGGGCTCTGCACACAGAACGCCATTTTTTTTTTAAGGTTTGCACTTTGCACAACTGTTAATAATCATAAACGTTCCAGGTTTTACGGGGATTAAAGATGAGATTTTTTTTTTAGGCATAGGGCACGAGTTTACTTACTTGGGAGAGAGATTAAATCCCGGTTTAATCTGGGGGCTATGGTAATCTGAGATGAATGAATTCCATATTCCACAGACGCCATTGCCCGGCGAGGGAGACACAGAAACTGCCTTCGAACCCTGAAATTCAACAACGGCCACCGAGGGCTCGCGAAATCGGAAACGCGGCCAAGATTGGCGGCGTAGGTCGATGTTGCCGCCGCCGCCGCCGGCGCTGCCGCCAGAGCCATGCCTGATTAATGTGTCAATTCTCTGGACGATTGACAATTAGGCCGATTGATGACGTTAGTGATTCGAGTACAGGAGAATTTTCCTTGTGTTTTATCAGGAAAATTTGTGAAATGCCTGCGTCAACTTCTAGATATTTTGATGTTATGTTATACATTCACCAACTTTTGATGATTTTGATTTTTTTTTTTTTTTCATAGTTTGGAAAAAATCAAGGTTTGCATATGTTCACTTGTTCATTTCATTGATATAAAAAATGATAGAGACATATTTGGACATTTGTTGTTCATTAAACATGATTTTGTTTTACATAAACTATTGCAGTTGGCCGTGCAATGCGCGAGCTAGTTTATAAAGATAAGCATTTAGATTTGGATGATTGGATAAACGTAAAACGTATGTATTGAAATAAAACAAAATGTAACTTATGCATTATTAAACACATCCTTGTACACAACATTATTTGTTTGGTCTAATTGTACATCGTCTATCGCCACAAATTATATTAGGATTTTAGATAAGATTACATAAACCAATTAAATTATTTAGCAGGATATATAATTTATACTGCTTTTATGAAGATTGTATAGTCAAATATAAAAGGAGAATGTGAAACGTCTTTCTCTTGATAATCTATAGCATTATTATTTTAAAGTTGTAAACTACTTAATTTAAGGAAGGAAAAAATTGTGTAAGTGTATACAATCAATTTTAAATTTGTATTCTAAAGGATTAAACAAACCCAAAATTTTAGGATGTTCAATCCAATTTTATTTTGATTTTTAATTTAATATTATTTGACTATGTTTTATGTCTAAAAAAACATGAACTAAAGAAAGTAGTAGTCAAATGATAAAGAATTTTTAATTTTCAATATGTAATTGGACCCGATTTTCTATGCAATCCGATTTATTTTTTAAATAAATATAATCTGTTGCAATTAGGTAAAATACATGTTATAATATTTTGCCTAATTCAAAATTCTCAATTTTATGGTAAACAGATTTTGCCTAATTCAAAATTCTTGATGGTGGTTATGGACTTGGCCGCAAAACGAAGTCTATTAGTTATGATGAAGCCGGCATAAACGGTAATTAGTCATTTTTCTCAAGTTTAATTGTCTCTTAATTTCACACATGCTTGGTTATATTTGTGGAAAATTTTTAAGTCTCAGTTGTGCATTTTAGCGGAACAAATAAACACATGCCACATCATTTTGGTTTGGTAAGCCTTTATAACATCTAAAGGTCCCTATCGATTTTACAGGATCTAATGGCTGAAATTAAAATAACGGAATGGTGCCACGACACGATAGCCAACCCCTATATTTGTTACCAACAAAAGAATGTGTAATGTTTTTGAAAAAAATTAAATACAGGCACAAGGTATTTGATGTTTGGTCTGCACTTCGACATTTTTCTTTCTCCTTCTGTTTTATTTATATTTATGTATTTTTATAAAATTATTAGGCTTTTGGTATCCCTACCGGAATATATTTAACTTGGTTGAAGAGCTTGAAATCTGCACAATATTCCCAAGAAGGATTGGAGGTGAGTTAAATTTTGATCGATAGTTCTTTATTATTCCATCTTTTATCAGTTGTTTTCAAGAATTCCATATGACTAAAGCCTCAAGGTACTATTAGATTTATTTTCTTTAAATGATTCCTACATGGCCTCTATTTTATTCAGGTCGAATATCCTATATTCCAAGGCTTGCCACAGCCGCGGCAGGACCACCGGCGGCCGCTGGAGAGGAGGGAGCAGGGTTTTCATCAGCACGGCATCATTCACGACTTGGGAAGAACCACGTAGGCGCTGGGAAAGACTTCCTCATGTTCTTGGCATCACATGGAAAATAGCATGGCAACACAGTCTTCTCCACGTAATCGAAAATGCCAATGTCATGGCCACCAGTTTTGAAATCGTCAATCAGCGCATCTTCCATTGCGTCCGTGAAGTAAATGGAATTAGGCTTGAGCTCCGGGAACTCAGCCGCCGGTAACGCGACTGCATCGCTGCAGAAGCCGACAAAAAGAGCCCCACCACCCAAAGACGAACCTTCCACATACTTAAACTCCCCATCCTCAGGGTCATATTTATGAACATCAAAATCAACAGTCACACACGGAAGGCCTCGTTCGTAGGCAAAGGCATACGGGTCAGCGCTGTCGACATACAAACCATCAAAATCAAATCTACCAACCACATATTGAGTTACCACAAGAAGATCCTGCCCGGTCACTACAAGATGCTCCATTGGAGTACTTGTAAGCCGCAGCTTCTTCTTCTCACCTTTCCCTGTCCTCCTCCTCTCATCTTTCCTTGTCCTCCTCTGGTAGCCAAATATTCCACCCTTCTTACGAATTTTGACCATCTTCATAGCCCTTGGTGACTGAGGGTCCCTAAGATCCCAAGTTTCCAACACACCACTATATCTCGTGAGACTAAACAATGCTTCGTGTCTTGTCGAGTAGAACGCAATCTATGTAGCCTTGGCCGAAGGCCTTTCCCTTATTTTCACCAAACCAGTGGTGATCTCCGATGCGGATCCACCCCTTGCTGAACCCTGGGCAACAGAAGGCCAGCCCACGTATGTTATTATAAATCATCACGGACCGGGAATTCGGTCCATCTTCGTCAGGAGAGCACGTGAGGATGACCTTGTATGCAGTAGGATAACCGGTGGGTAGGACACCGGGCAGGTCGCCATGGGAGGCAGGTTTATCTGTCGACGGGAGATGGGATTATAAAGAAACAGACGGCGGCTTCGGGGGCACAGCAAAGCTAGCCAGCCGTGTGAAGATCGCCTAAACCACATGGGCGACCATGTCAATTCCTCTCTTTCTTTGCTGCTTTTACCGGTACTTAGGGTTACGATGTTGTTGCCGGCGAGGCTGTAGAACTTGTAGCTCCTGCTGGCGGCGCCGCTAACGTCGACGTCAAAGGCAGGCGGC